CTACCGTCATATACAGGGTTTGAATCCCGGATCCCTTGCATGATACGGCTGTACAAATAGGTGTAGACGCCGTCTACATTCACGTAGATCGGTATGCATAAACAAGCATCTAAAACATCTTTTCACACAGATTCTTTGGAGTTGATTGGTACACAAAGTCTACTTTTTGTCTCGATCGATGAAACATAAACGATTGTCACTGTGCTATTGTATGAAGAATGAATACGAGTGTCACGTGAATGATATTTCGTGAACACCAAGACGAATGACTGGATGTCTGGGTGACTAAATTTACCTTTATGGTTTCTAGTAAACGTTATTTGTCGGAAATTACAGCAAGCTACGAAATAACTTTCAATTTGATTGGGAACACAATGTGGGATTATGCAAATTGAATTACAGTGGAAATATTTAACATTTTCTAATAAAGTATTTCACTCAAATTAACCAGATTGTAAAATGATGGCTAACCCAATTCGACTACGCCTTTTTCTTTTTAAAAATTATAGTCAAACAGTAAAGTTATCGCGAAACCAGCAGCTCTCTTGAGGAACATATGTATGCATAACCTATCAGATTAGCACATCAGTAGGGTTGAAGGTAACCACCATTATTATCGATAAATGTAGTTAAAATTTCATCTATTAAGCACAACATGAATGTAAACATTGAAAATATTCCAACGAATTCATTTAAACGACAGAAAGTTTGAATTCACTGTTGCAATTTAGGCTAGCAAGGCCTCGGTACACCTTCAATCTAACACGAAACAGTTATCCTAAGTTTGATCGCAAAGATTATTACGTTATCGCTGTTTTTCTTCCTTCGCTTATTCTAGCCGGCGGTTGGGGTATTCCCGTAGTGCTTGTTGTAGTTGAGGGTGGCCACGATGTGTTCATTGACGCACGGGATTGCATTCGGGAACGAATACCGGTTGTGGTCTGTTGCGGTACCGGTCGAGCTTCGGATTTGATGAATCTGGCATTCTATTTCCGGATGAAACAACCAAGCAAGTGAGTTGAGCAAGTGCTTTAGTATTTACCGATCAGACTGTTTTATGTCAAAGCTTCAGCACTCAAAATATCAGAGGTTGTTGTTGTTGTTGTTTTCTTCAGTGAGACACAAATCGTTGAATCAAAATCTTCTGAGATGGAAGGAATTGCTTATTGTTACTGAGAGTGCTTCTTCAACTTGCTTCATTTCAAGCATAAATGTGTCGTTCTAGTGAAATAACCCAAAGGTTTGAATAATAAATTACATAACACGGAAAAATATAATGGATAATTCAGGATTTTACGCGCTAAAAAGGAGCTGGACAGAGGATCACATTACAGAGGATAAGTAATTTTAGGTAGTGCTTTTCTTTCCTGATCCCTCACGGTGTTCTTAAACCGTATTCAAAGGATTAGGTAAGAAACTGACAAATTATCGTACTTGATCGTTTTGTTTTGAGTTCAGAGTGTCGCCAAATAATCCGAACTTCCTTGTAGACCGACAACTACATTCACTCGTGATCTGTGGAGCAACGATAATAGAGCCAAAATTTAATTCACTGAAATAGGCAAACCATGGATGCAAGAATCTTTGGCACGGCTAAATGCATTGCTCATTCTTTATTAGGGTTTACGTCTGACCTCACCGAATAGAATTCGAAATCTGCGTTAACAGCTCACAAGGTAGTCTTTCACCTTTGGGTACAAAGTGGTCTTACTAGCATTTTACACCAGATATGACACTTACCCCTACATATATCGACGCCCGTGGAATGGGAATAGGAACTGTTTATTCACTGTATGCCAAGACGCTATTCCTACTCAAGCTCTACAGGTTATTCTTAGTCCAAGACCAAGAGGCGTTTCCCTTCGGCGTGTGGTTATGCACTCTGATGACTGTGTTTGTTTGCTGTGAGTGTTCGTGCTTGAGTGGATGGGGTAAAATCAATCGGGACTGAGAAACTGTGCGCTCACGGCGAAAGCGAGCCCTCTTCAAAACTACGCCCTATAGCGTGCAGATGGGGGGAGGGGGGAGCATGTGCAAGTCAGATAAAAAAGGGCGGTTGTGAGAAACCCGAAAGAGCAGGTAGATAGCGAAATATTTTAGAAACTGTTACCCAAACATGCGCAACATTTTTTCCGCTACTAGTATGATAATCCTGTGTTCAATTCAGCAAAATATCAAGATATGGTTGTAATCTCTATATTGGGACAATGTCAACTTACACAGTCATCTCGTTTGTGCAGTCCAATTATTCATCTGGTCGAAAAACCTGTACTTTTGTAAATACTATTCCAGATCAACACTTGAAAGTTTCAAACCTGGACAATAATTTAGCAATCTACAAAACAATAAATCTGATTCACTTTATGGTCAATTATTCCGATCCATTTCACCTTAAACTGTGTTTCTATTTTATTCTCGTCCGCTGTGAAGAGACTTCACAGCTTTCCGTCCGGAAGAAGAAAGTATTCTTCTGCAAAAGTTGATCCCCATATCGGGGAAGGCTAAAGCAGACAGTGCATTGGAAATGATTATTGAAATTCTCCGTGACCCCAAATTAATCACCACATTTGATATGAACAAATCAGATGATTTGGATCTGGCCATTTTGTTTGCTCTGATCAAAACAAACTCTCGAATCAACACTCAACTGGAGTTGGCATTCACTTGGAATCGAAGTGATATTGCTGAGGAGAAGATTTTCCGGCAGGGAGTACGTGTTGAACCAGGTAAGATGTGCGTGTATGTTGTACTCTTATTGATCCTCCGATGAAGAATGAGTGTTCAGATTCCTGAGTGGTTGATCATTAAATTGAATTGTAGGGATTCTAACCCACACGTATGCTATACCAGCTGTGGTACCATACCACACAAACAACTGCAGCCTTTATAGATTTAATACCTTACTAAGCCTAAACATGCCTATACTCGGTATATTCCACTCAACAAATCTAGTGTGAAGGTTTTCAAAGATCTACCTTCGCAGTCCGCTTTCTGGTCGATATTCTTGTATTATCTTAGTAACACCACACCAGGGAGAGTCACTAGATGTATTGGGGGAGGGGGAGGACTACAAATGAAAGATAAATTGAATGAACTAAAATGTAAATGAATCTGCATTCGATGCATTTGATTTCAAAAGATTATCTTGTTGTTCAGACATGTGACCACAGAGAGAAATAGAAGACAGAGAGATTTACGATTTGGTTTTGGCAAAAGATGACATAAATACAAAAGCTTTGTGCTTGCTATTTAACCTTGAATCAATTGATCGATTTGAGCTTCAGAGGTGACAGGAACAGTATTAAAAAAAACAGTGGTTCATGAACAAATAAAAAGCTAATACTAGATATCGACGAGATTCAAATCAATCATGCATATGCCGTCTTTAAATCTCTTTTCTTGTTTTGTATTGTATTGCAATGACCGGTACAGGTATCTGTGTCCGCATTTCAGTCAATAACAGACAGGGATAAAAATAATAACACTGTCTTATACAATATTGCAGAATAAACAAAAAGAGATCAATTTGGAGATGTGTGAGTTGCTTTCTTCATAAAGAACAATGTTCTAATTACGGTAGGTGGTCAAGCGAAATATTCCAGTTTGTCAAGCAGAATTCGCTGAGGTGAAGAATTCAGGGAGTTGTTTCTGAGATGGAAGATCGGGAATACGATCTCTGGGTTACTTCTTTTAGGTTTCTAGGCCAATGGGAAAGATACATTTGTTGGACTGTAGTCGTTCAACAATAGCACACTCAATGACTAGATGAAGTGAAGAACATAAACTGAAAAAGAGAGTGTCAGAGTTAGCGGTTTTTTAATTAGGAGTAATGATGACTGCTCACAATCGCTCAGAAATTGAATAAATTGATTAAAAAAAACGTTGGCAACCATCGGCATAACTTCAGGTAGGATGCGGGCATCGTTCTTTAGAAGGAAAACAAAGGTAATCAACACGAACGTACTATAAAGAGCCTCATCGATTTTAAGAGTTGTATTAAAGTTTCTCTTAGAATAGGCTAAAAACGTTCATGGATGGTGGCAAAGCGCGATAGCTCGTAGGCTATAGCTGGATCAATCAACGTTCGATTTAGAGCGTCGATGTTCGTGACTAATGAGGTTGATAATTTTTTTCACAACAAATTCCTTCCCATACCCACTTCACATCTTGGCTGTCAAGCACCGGTTCATCATTTGCTATGTCAATACTCCTAATTTCAGTCCGGATGAGGTGAAAAAGACGTTTTAAGCCATTGGCAACTCATGTCTTTACAGCGGGTTCCAAGTTCATCCGCAGATATTTTCCTTTGCGTTTGAAAACTATTTTTACCGCTTGTAAATTATAAAATATTCTCAGTTCAAAAACTAACCAGACAGAGAGCTGGAGATTCTAGAGAAACTCACCACCAGACACTATCGAAGAACTGTTTAAGTAATACGGTATTATTAGGTGGTATTTGGCTCTGTTTGCGCGTGTATTGCTTTTCATAAGAAAAACCCAAATAAGAATTTACACTGATATGTGAATATGTTGTTTTTAAAGAGAAATTTATTTACTTTAAATTTAACTTCAGTTTCATTTGGAAGTCAAATTTAAGCTTTTAAGTTGTGGTTTTTAACGCACTTTATTTATCTTTCGACTTCATTGACTCACAAAATCATTTTATCAAGAAATATGTCACGTTCGGCGAACAAATCAGAGGGGGTGAGATTTTTACTTCCACCTTCACCTGTCACCAGGTTTGGTGTTCTAGTATCGCAGATTTTGTAAAAACAGGATCACGAACCGGGTCTTTCCCGAAAAAATACTTGAAGGCTTTTCTCTGTTAATAGGTTGCTGATTCGGAGACATGGTAAGAACCTTTTTATTGACCAAATAGATAACATGCTCAAAATCTGCCTCCAAGTTTCCGGCTTTGATCCTATGTTGGAACAGTGAATTTGTATCGCTGATGATACAGAGCAATTTGAAAATGTATCCACTATATTTGTTCACTTTCAATTCTAATCAAATAGGGTTTTAAGCCCCCCCCATAAGTCAATGTTTTGGCGAGATAATATGAAAAAAACACGAGCGGGGACAAAATACTCGCTTGCGGTGAAAATAAACAAAAGGTAACACAACCGGTAATTTCTTATGCCCTTATTAGTACATATCTGATTTATCAAAATAAGGGCCATATACTGGATAATAGTATTTCAATAATTGCTAGTACGTGAAGAAAGAGTTTTAAATCTAAAGCGAGTACGGGGCTGAAATGTGCATTTACTAGGATGCACATGCGGACATTGATCTTTATTTATATAGTTTATTGATGGTGAATTTATCACATGCATCAAAGTTGTTGTACATAATGAAAACAACCATGACAATCTTGAGAATACCTCTACAGCGGGAAAGATGTTTAAGGGATCTGCAAGTGAGAATCAAGTCCATCTGGTTTAGATGGCGGAAGTATACCAGGGAACAGCTAAGCCACTGTGAAGGAACAAACGGACCGACCAACTTTATCGTGGAACGGAATCGAAGTCTTTCATTTCCCCTTCCACCAAAAATAGTAATAGTCGTTTCAGGATTCCGTTGAAGAGTTATCACAGGGCCACAGTCAACCTGGTTGCAAGCACCAGTGGATACAGCTATGTTGCCGGCAGTTACTTTTATTTTAATTGTACAATATGCTGAAAACTTGTGATCGCTTACTGTGGCTTCCGGGAAGGCTTAAATGATGACTGAGAACTCAAGAAAACGGCACCTGCGTTAAACTGCTCGCTGTACAGATCAAATTATGCTGTATAATACAACTGTGTTTGTAGTTTGCTTTATTATGTTTGCAGATTGATCACAAGCTGATAGAACGTCAGCCAGCTGACTGAGTTACGCTATTTCGGTACACTCCATCTATATTCATGATTATTTTTTGTCGAGGAAATAAAGTGTTACTGCTCCCAATTTCCTATTTCCGTACTCATGCAGAGAGCCTTGAACCTACTATGATGGAAGCGTTACTTCAGGATAAACCAGAATTTGTGCGTATTCTCCTACAAAATGGGATTATAATGCGACAATTTCTCACGGTAGAGCGGTTGCATGAGTTATACAACAAATCTACCCATCGGGACGCATTTGAACGCTGTTTGGCACAGAAGGGTCTACGAAAACCGCTCCTACCAAAGGTGTCCGATCGCAAAATTGCACCACATTCACAGTCAGAAGGAAAGTTTGACTTTGTTCTGTCACAAGTGGCCGCAACTGCTAACGTGTTTCCGATAAAATTGCCGCAGGCTGCTCCAGTTTACCTTTCCACTGTCAGCCGATTGTCGAGAAAGATGATCGGTCGATTCACAAATAAGATATACGATCAAGATACTGAGGTAAGTTAATGTAATACAGTTTTGTCATGTGGTGAAAGGCATTTTTGTTATCGTCTCATTTTCTCACAGTTGACTTAGTATATTGGAACCACAATGATGAATATAGAAACCAACAGCTCAAGAAAATAAGTAAAAGCTACAAAAAAGACGTTTTCTTCGTTTGAGGTGTTCAAATGCTTAAGTGATGTTTTCCAGTAGTGGTCAAGCAGTTCAAACTGACATCAATGGCCTACTCCGGGCCTTCAGTTCCTAGGTTCGAACCCGGCCATCGCCGTTTGGCTTTGGTCTCAGGCCACGTTGTTTTCTTCCGGCTAGGTGTGTAGAAAATCAATGGCGTGGTGAACTCGTTTTTGGATGTTCTGTGACCGGTTTTGGCAAACATCCCACAAAAAGAACAGTTAGAATTTTCCGTGTAAATGGTTTAGTGATAAAACATATGGCTGGGAGCGAGAAAAAGAGAAAGCAGTTGAATTGCTTGAATTATTATAGATGAATATGACAAGAAGCCTTTCCCCTGGGACACTGGGAACTGCCACCAAAAAGTGAACACGTTTATTCGTCTCTGAATGTAGTTGATAGGTAACGTGCCTAAATAAAGACCTTCAGCCGGGAGCAATCAGAATACACAATGGATTGGAGTACTATACTATTTCTTGAGATTAGTGTTAAAGCCTTTTAATCATAAGAGGGTGCATGCTCGCACAGGGTAGATCAAATGTAAATAGGTTTCCGTGGAATCTTTTTAAATAGATAACATAGGGTTTTTATGACAAGCGGTTTATGGGTTCATAAAACTGATCGAAACCGAAGAATAATGACAATGTTTTCGAGACCCAAGGAACAACAGTGGGTAACTCTTTAAAAGAATTTTCACATTCTGTTGGACACGATAATTCGACAATTTCGAAAAACATATGAAAACCGAATTTGCTAATTTCTGTGGTGTTAATACAGTAATTAAGAAGGAATAATGGGGAAATCGCTTTCCACTTTATACACAACCGACGAATGTAACATGATCATGATGATCAACTTTGTTCATTTTTTTATATACACCAAATGTACAATCCAAGTTCAAATTGGGAACTGGTTTGGTCAAACAAAGATGACTATTGAAAATCAACAGTAAGTAATTTCACTTTAACTTTTACAATGTTGTTTTTCTCTTTGACTTCCAGGAATTACGGCGTCGTCCGAATGATTGGGATTCGTTCCGGAACTTCACATTTTCCTCTCCATTTCAGGTAAATGGGTAGGGAATAACGTACATCTGTGCTTGTTGGTAGGTTCATAATTGTTACGTGTACGACACTGTTAACTTGAACAAATGTACATCGCATCATAAAAACAAAACAGTTTGGTTTGATAATCGAGTGGATTTGGAACGCGAAAGGGCTAATCAGTCAACCATGTTTCTGATTTAAACGGTAACCCAGTTGGAGAATGGCATTTTAAAGCCCCATACCATCTAGCATTGCCTCTGTTACTAATCACATTAGATGTCCCCCACACCATGAAACGTATTTGAGGAGTATTTGAACAGGGCAACTATGTCTTTGGAACTTCCGGAAATCATTCAAAGTATTGGTTTGTTTAATCGACTCGTTAAGTATCATTCTTCTATTTTGCTCCCCCCTTTAGCTAACTTAGCTAACTTCAAAAGAAGTAAACCGTATTACTAAGCTAAGTTAGCGAGAGTAAATTGCGCTTCTGATTAGATGATTTTTAATACACTCATAGATAGTTCAGTATGGGGGAGTGAACAGGTTCCAACTAAATAGTGTGAGTCGGTTATTTCACTATTCTACAAGAAAGGTAACAGATTGTCTCGAGAAAAGCTGCAGAGGAACAAGTTTGATCAACATTGTCTCCAAACTTCTCATCGGCATAATACTCTGGGGATAGTTTGCGCACGTGAACGACGCACGTGTGAAAATCAGACTGGTTTTGTTAGACATAATTGCGGTTGACCAGACCGTATTTCGTCTTTCTGCAAAGTGTAGAACTCAGTCATTCGTTTACTGGCCCCACCACTTCTATTTTCTTCGATCTGAAAGTTGCCTTTAATGCAATCCCGTGTTCTACACTCCGGCATTACCTTTCACTGATGGGTATGCCAGAGAGGGTTGTTTCCAGAATAAAGACTGCTTGCTACTAATAGTCGACACAGAGTCCGAAGTAAGGGCACTGTTTCTACTGCGTTCTTCAAAGGAAACACCGTTCATCAGCGTTACTCTCTGCTATTCTGTTTGTCTTCACTAAACATGTGATTACACCTTTAAGGTGTATAATATTGTTACAGAATTGGGTATGTCAAGCTCTCGTCTTCACTCTAAATGGTGGAGTGATAGAGACAGTAGGTATATTTTGCTATTTGGGCGGCTACATCTCACTTGGTTGATGCACCAGGGATGAAGTGTCGGCAGCCATAAATATAAATCTCTTGGCATTTGACGGCTTAAGTCATCTGTGGTTCAGTCACGATTTCCGGCTGAATGTGAAGGATCAAATGTAAGCTGCCGTAGCTTAACCGATTCTGCTTTATGATGCAGAGACCGTTAACGGAACAGGCTGAAGGTAGATAGGTAATGATAGTTAAATAGATAGTTTAACAACGTCGCTGCATTGTTCGAGTCTGATAGGACAACTAGACAAGGAATGCTGAGTTGAGGCACAGAGTTTAGCGTAAATCCGGTTGTTCTCGGCTTCTATAAATGTCATTTTTTAGGACAAGATTTAAGCGTGTCAGTGAGTAGATTGCCATTGAGTGCTATGTTTGACGATGTAATTAATGGGTAGAAAATGTCAGGAGTGGTCAGACTCAGACCTGGTATGAGGATAGGAGAAAGCTGGCTAAAAAACTTGATTTAACAGATCGCGGTAAGCTTCTTGGATGGTGATCTCATAATCATTGCTATCAATGGTTGGAAACACTAAGTGATGTAGCTATGTCGCAAAAAATGACGTTTATGTATCTTATCAATCAAACTTAATCCAGCAAAATTTTCTCCTTTCGCTTTAAACATTAAAATCTTCTCTCTTCTCAATTATCTAAACTCGCAGCCTAAAGACAACAACCAAAACCACCAGATGAAAGTGCATAGCTGATGATCATAGAAACTGAAGCCGAAAAAAATAGGAAAGCAAGACATCCAACTATGAGGTTTAAGAGAATTTGGGGACCGGAATAAAGCAAGCTTGAATAGCTGTTTTACTTCTGGAGTTCCGTATGTTCAGTGTCTGTTGTTTTGTACAGTCAATCAATACAATATGCACCTTTATCTTGTTTTCGTCTTCCGCAGTTAGTTCACTTTGCGCATGGCTCTTTAGCTATTAGTATTAAATTTTGCTTACATCTGCAGAACGGTATCGAAATTTGTGCACTCTTGAGTTGTTAACACAAGATATCAAAGAAAAACAGAGAAGGAATTTCGACCTGATCCAGATGAATGTTCACAGTGGTAAGAAGGACCCTAATATTGAATGCTCATGTGAGAGAATACGAAATAATAACTAAGAAGTTTTCATGAAACATATATTTGATTACAAACGTTTCCTTAAAGATTTGAATTAACAATAAATATATGAAAGGAAATAAATGTTTGTGAATACCAAAAGAATGACCCAGTTAAAAATGAATACAATTCATTACTACTGTTTGTTGTTTTGTGAATTCTTGGGCATCCACGGCACGTTAATCCGTTATTGTGAATGCATAGCAAAGTTGAGCACACGAACGAGACTTCAACAGTTGTGCTGTTCGTCAGAAGAACACCAAGTATTGCCCAAGTTGCAGGAATGCAGCGGAATCATTGGTACAAACTGGAGCCAATATCCAAAGGGGAGGTCTTGTGTTGGACTCAACCAAGTTAGATCAGTACATTTCAATCGTTTACCCAATTATGTGGTTCATGCTGAAAACATTCGCATACAAACAATGAAGGAAAAATAGAATTCAGACAAATCAGGAACAGTGAGTGGAGAATTATTTCACACACACATTCTGATCCTCCTCTTCCTTGTAATAGTTTTACAAACTGAACTGAACGGCACTGAATTTCTTTGTACATAGTTCATAGAGAAAGAGTCAATCTTGAATCTCCATATCATCCCTAACCAGTTCGGTTGTGCTGCTCTGTTGAATTCTGGATTCCCTGTTGATATGTTAAATATAATGGCTACCCATTATATGAACTGAAAAAAATCTGTATAATTCACCTTAATTATCAAGTCAAGACCACAGATCAAATTGCAGTTAAATAATATTCCTTAATTTCATTTTCGGTTCCTGTCTATAACAAACCCTTTTGTCCAGTAAATGAAGGCATCGAAAAGCAGAAAGTTTTGCGTATGAAAAAATCAAAATAATCACCGGTGTCAATCCAGTATATCCAGTATATTTTGATTTATCATCCAGTTCGTCCAACCCGTGATTTGGTTGATCTGTGCTACTCAAACCATGGAGCGTAACACAACCGATGTGCCCTATTCCATCGGTGGCAATACAAATCCAATCTAACACGCTTTAAACCGCTTGGCACTCGAGGAATCCAGATATGGTATTTGCATTGCACCATCCGGATCCAATGTACTTGTACCAGACTAGTAGGAGATTGAGCCTGCATCAATCTTTTGTGGTGGTCCGGTGGAAATAATGGCGAGATTTAAGTACCTCGAAAGTTGGTTGGGATGTTGGTGGAGAAGAACACGTCAAATATATAAAAACTAGAGCAACGTTTGTTAACCTGCGACACTTGTGGCGCCGCCATTATATCTGACATCTTCTCACGGGAAGGGTGTGCAACGCCAAGTTTCGTGGTGTGTTGCTTTATGGTTGCGAGATTTGGTCTCTCCCAGTTTAGGATAATAATTAATTCGACCTCCGATGCCTTCGCAGCATTTATCGTGTAGGGTTTGAACGTTTTTTGATCGATGACGAAATTCTTCGTCATGCTTTGGGTACCAGTAATTGTTTTATAAAGAAATCAATCACTCTATACCGCCTCTGATGGCTCGGCCAGGTTTTAAGTATGCCTGCTCATTGTCTACCTTTTCGTGCTCTGTTTGCCTATGCTGCATAAGTTAAGAAGAAGCGCCATGGTTGTCAGACAAAGATCTGGTTTATGAGTATGAAGGACTAAGCTTCAGCATACACCTTGTTTGACCTGCCCGAAGTTGATCTTGAGGACCAAAGAATGGTTGTTATCAGTGATTGGAAACTCTGAGCAATAGGGCCCAGAGTTGAAGTCAGTGGTGTAAACGTTGTATGGTTGATTTCTTGGAGTCCCGTTTCTTCGAGAAAGACAAGTAAACAACAAATAAAACATTGATGTGTCCAGTGAAACAAACAGAAAAACATAATACAGCTTTCGTCCTTCGGGTTCTCTGCAACTTGTTTTATCTTTCATATCATTATGATGTGTTCGCAAGTACTCCTTGGTTGATATTGTTGTCGCGCTGGTAGCATGGTTTTTCGTAAGTACTGAGGTATATATATGTAACCAGCACATGAACAGGAATTTGGTTCGATCTAGGGGACTTCGTCCGACTACGGACATGTGACCTTATAAGCAAGTCACAGAAATACAGCCTAAGTATATACTGGTGGTTCCAAGAGTCCCATGTAATCACTCCGTTAGAAGGTTGAAACAGAATGAGACCAAATGAATGGTAAATCTGGATTTATTCATTGTATTAATCCATGGTTCTGGTATCCACAAATATTTCATAAGCATTACATAACCTATTACTTGTCTCAGTGTGATGTTGAGCCGAGAGTTAACACACTCATTCCACAATAATAATAGTCACCTAATGACTTCAAAAGTAAAAACGAATGTGTTTATACTGTCGTCTATGCCTTTTTCTGAACTGCTGTAGTATACAATCAACATTTACTGGACAGAATATCATCAGCTCCGACATCAGGTGCATGGTTAACATTGAATGGCTATTTGTCACTCTAGAATGTAACTTCTATCGACGAGGGTTTACTTTTTAATCCGTTCATATCGCTCAGTAATTTCATTCGGATAGTACTCACAAGACGGCCTGAAATGTGTTTGCTTTTCCGTGCTTGTGTTACCAAGAACAAACAGAATTGCGAAGAATAAGGGGGCTGGGGAAGAAAAATTACATCAGGATTGATTAAAAACTGCAGAACAGCAGATCCAATGTAAATGCTTCTCTGTTACCTTCCATGGTCACGTCTCACTTGAACTAAGCAAAATTTCATAGTGCTTCATTTTAACTGCCTCGTCTATACTCTTTTAGTTCGGCTTTTGGTTTACAGAACCATTGCTGCATTGTTGTGGGACGGGTTTTGTCTTTCAACTAGCTGTTTATTTGAACAATCCAGAAAGATTAAGTGAAGGAATCACGTACAAGTAAACAAGACCTGGTTGAGTCATGAGGAAAGTAACTAGCTGTGTGGTTAAGAACATTCAACTGTCACCTAGAGTCTCTGAACATCAATTAAATTGATCGCTGTTCAGCCAACCGGGAAGTGTATTGTGACCTGTTGGAGTGAGTTCGATAGTTCGGGGTTTCATAAACGCACATCATGCCTTTGTTACCAACAAGGGACACGTTCAGCTCCACAAAAGATACTAGGCAGACAAACTATTAAACGTGTCTCGAATGTTTTTGAGTATCTTTCACGAGATTCTTCAAAGCTAGATGCGTTTGAATAACGCAACGGATCTTGAATTGAACCGCTTAGATTTACATCACCCCGGGCGGTTTATTTACCCTCCGATTTTATGAACTGAGTTTGGTAATGTACAACAATTCAAGTGAACCATTGGATGACCTTTGAGAGCTGAAATCGCTAGCACTTCAACTCACACCATTTGCATTTACATTCTGTCAAACATTTCGTGGCTAATCCCATTTGCTTATCCTACACATAGAAGTTACTGTCTTGCTGTTCCATCTTCGGGCTTGGAGATTGAACGGTACACGCAAGTGGCCGAGCTTTACACAATAGACCGTCAACATAATTATTGTGAGAGAATGACGGACGGCATACGTAGTTCATTTTCGTATGAGCTTTTTCAGTATTCGAACATCATTTACATCTGAATATCCTGTCTTTATTCAGGAAATCAATAAACAACGTGGGCTAATCGATGTACTTGTTTAACTAGCCTTTTTTCCTCGTTTATTGATTTTTGATTTTGGTTAAAAACCATAACTTTATCGACATTAGTTATTGGGATGTTAAAAGGTGTCTGACTGCACCTGAACAGTACGTATAAAAAGCAACGTATTTCGGTATTTTCAGTCGGTAACGTTGTGAGCTGATTGGTATATTGGTAATGCACACTCCTTCTATATGAGGGATGTGGGGTTCGAATTTTGAAAGAGCTGGGGAATATGTAGCGTTGATGAGCTATAATACAATCGAAGTTAGAGTATGGTGCTTTCCGAGCGTGTAACTGGCTCCTTAAAATTACTATTCCGAATAAAATGATACACGCAAAATGGACACTCAGAATGAATTAAACTTTATCTGACTTCACTGAATTATTGTCTAATACGTCAGCTTATTCTAAATGAATCATGCATTTGCTGTCATATTTCTTATTCACTCACAATTTGTATTCGTTTTCTCCGAACTTCAACGCAGCTCAAGTAGATCGAAAGAGCCATAGCGTGGGTAGGATTCAAAATGGACTGACTAATACAATAACCAATGGACAGAATATGCATTTGGCGTGGGTTGTTAGCCTACGTACAAATACCTCCGACTTCCTGTTCAGAGACATACCTGTAGACGGAGAGATTTGGATCGATATGCCCAACATAACGCGACTGTGCTGTCCAATCGAAATAGCCTGGTGTATGGATGCATGCGTATGTGTGTACATGTGTTGTGATAAACCGAATATGCAGAGAGAGAATAGATAACAGTAAAAAAAACTCGGTCACCTGTTTCGGACATGAATCGGCCAATGGTTCAGTACTCGTTTGAATAGCTCTGAATATCAGTGAATCTACTTATAGGGGTAATGGAAAAATGAATATGCTGGATTACTCATTATGAATCACTGTATTAAGCTGAACTCACACCTGCCATGAACTTGATTCTTTATAATTTACAGGAGCTGTTCCTTTGGGCTGTGCTGCATCAACGTCAACAAATGGCTCTGTTTTTCTGGGAACGTGCGGAAGATTCACTCACTCTCGCCCTGATTGCTTGTGCTCTGTATGCGGACATGATCAAATCACTGCCGCAATATGATACAGAAACACAGGCAGAGTATACAAGGTATATGGACGAATTTGAAATGCTGGCGGTTCGACTGTTAGAAGAATGTTATTCCATGGATCCGGTAAGTATGCAGCGGGTGTTGTGTGACTAAAGGTTCTTCTTGCCAGCCAACCATTCCACACGCTCCCGTATTTTCGTTTATAACGGTGCTCATGGGAACCGGGGATAGCAAACATTATTGCATATCCGAGGTCAAAGTCGCAAGCGTCGTGTTAACACATTTTTCAACCTACCTTTTCTTCTACACGTAAAGTCTATTTTTTCTGCTGTTGACCATATATATATATTTATATATGTGAGGAAAGAGCGTTATGTTAGTGTAGATATATAAGCAACCTTGTTTGCATGCCTATAGTTTTACTATTTATTGTTCATAGCTACTCATGCAGCCTACATTAAGTATTGTGAAACCACTTCCTCAACTTTTGAGTAAAACATTGGTAAATAAAAGTAATCCTGAATTCGCTGGCAATAGAGAGTATACAAAAATGCTTCGTGAAATCTTTCTGATATTTCAATGAAGGTGTTTTGATGCCACTCAAATTAAATTCTGCTTAATTTGGTAGCTCATCAAAAGCTTCATTACTTACAGTTTTTTTTGAAATTAATGAGCGACACATCTATAGAGGCTGTTATTGGAAATGTGCTTCTGTTTGTTGCTAAGATTTTGTTTTAGACTGTTCAACAAGAGAGGGGTTCATCGAATTCGAGAAGAACGTTTAGTGTTTTATCCCGGTTGCTCGTGGTCATAACTCCTGAAGGATTGTGCTGAAGCAAGCCAGTTCAATTGCTCCCATGAAGCATGCGGAGATGGTTGCCTTATAACGCACATAAACCAAGAGAAAAACGTTTCAGTGATTGATTGCCTATTGTGCTTGCAGTTCACCTGTAGGGTCCTGGGGTCAATGAGCAAGTAGCTTGATTGGATACTGCTGATAAGGCCCGTCAAGTTTCAAACAGCTGTTCAACTTTTACGGTTTATCTTTCCTTGGTACTTCTTTCAAAGAACGACTGATTTAAGAGAAAGTAATCGCCGGTTTAAAGAATAGATTTTCGTGTTTTTTGATAAAAACAGTTGATGGATGTACGCCCGAAAAATCACGGATAAACATGTATTTAAGTACTTGAACTAAAACGGGCTCCCTGGCTGGAAAACCTTGTTAGCTAAGCCAAGAATTCGCTTTTCAATATAATAATATACTGAATCCACCAAATTTTGCAATTACGGTAAGTGATTCTGATCGCCGAATATGCACCACTGGTCATTCATTTGTCATTGATATAGATTCCGCTCTACTGTTTAAGTCAGTTGGTACTGCTAGTTTGTTACTCTTTATTCGAGTTTATACTCAAATTCAAATCATGGGCATTGAAGCTGTCATGAGCCTGTATCTAGGTATGTGAATTTAATATATGTAAACTTCAATAGTCTAATTCAGTCGTTATTCGCAACTCTGTCAGTCACTTTGACAATTTCCGACGAGTTAAGGCGGCGTTTAAAGGAGAAATAGGCGATGTCAGAAGTCCCTCAGTAAGGCTACCAGTATTACTCTAATGCCAACCTAGTAAAGTTCAGTACGCGGATGAAATTGTAACTAAAGTCTAACGATTTTTAATTTTGATCCGTTTTCCACAGCGAGGCGTAATATAAGGAAAATGAGCATATACTTGTAAATGTTTTACTATTTACCACAATCGTTGTACAGTTATGGAGCGTAAGATGATTAAACAATAACAGCGATATATTTGTCATCTATTCTAGTTTTCACATTTTTATTTTATTTATTCTGTACTTTCCTTCAGAATGTGGTTTGATTTATGCACGGATATTAACTGCCTCCTTTGAGGCATGAGTACGGGTGTGTTCAAAATAAAATGACTATAAATATAATCATCAGAAAATGTATTCTTTATTAATAATTGATTTGCTTACTTCCTACCCATTTTATTCTCACAGGAAACCACACTGTTTTTGGTAGAAAACGAAGCCCCTTTATGGGGTGGGTATAATTGTTTGAACTTGGCCGACAAAGCCACACGCCGCAAATTTATCAGCTCTGTGGCTTGTCAGAACTCCCTGTTCTACGCTTGGTCCCACGGAACTCAAGCCAGTCCATTCGTGTTCACAGTGACGCTCTTCTGTCCGTTGCTGCTTTTGTCCGATCGATTCGTGGAATTTGATGACAAGCGTAATATCGGGAGCGGAGTGAGACGTGTGATGGATGAAAGACGCCCGTCTGTGTTGTGGAGACCGACTTCGCCGTCACGTACCTCAGGACAACTGAGCACGTATCACCGAACTTCTGCAGATGCTGAAATTGATTTCGGGCTAAAGAGACACTTGACTGATGGGGCGGAAGATTATTCAGCAACAAATGTGACGAGACAACCTCGAATGACATTGAAGAATAAGTTGGAAATATTGTACACTGCTCCGCGAACCAAATTCTTTTTAAATACAGTAAGTCAAATGTATTTCTCTAACGAACGCAAAGGAGTAAAATGTGAGAGACCGGGCCGTTTTCTACTTATCCTAATCACCAATGTACAGTGCTCGCTAAGCAGTGTGCCATTGCGATTTAGTCCAATCATTTCAGACACATCGAATTACTGAGTAAAGGTGGCATTCTGTTAAAACCAGAGTGTGTTCCTTTACTGAACAATGTATACATTGGCTGGACAAGCTATATACAGCCAAATGATTAGAAATGTTCTACATGTTTCGTTATTGGGTTTATCCTTCTAGTCGAACCAGTGACTCCTTTGCTTCTTCACTATTTTTTATCAAACACAAAGTGATGTACAGCAGAAAGGGGTAAACTCCATACTCAATGATATACTGTAAGGGAGAGGTATGTGGAGGAACATTCAAGTAAGAATCAGTTTGTTAATCCTGCTTTTCAAAAGGGTAAGGTTTTGAATACTTGGAAACACGGAAATGGGAAGAATCTTACACAATTTCGCAGTCCTAGGGAAAAAGCAGATTGAAAGATAGAAGTCCGACATCTGGGGGAAGAAACCTGAAAAGGATGACTACCCATCTGAGAACGAGATGGACGAGAAAAGGTTAATGGAAGAAGAACCGCTGAAGCAAGTTCAGAAGAGCAGAAACTAAAACAGTAACGATAGAAAAGAGATGACGAAGCAACTGCCCGGCTATGAGAAAGCGACTGTATGATGGTAGTTAAAGACGGTTCGTCGATCAACCGGATGGCTTTGCAGTGAATACGGTCGAGGAGAGGAAGAGGGGACTACGAAGCCGCACCCCGTACGTGACTGCAGTGTTCAAGCACCGGGTGGATTTGAGCTTTGTATAAAGGGTGCTTGAGTATAAAGAAACGCCTTGCGCGGAATAGAAAACCAACTTTGCGCGCAGCGTGAGAGGCTATTGAAGAGATAAAAGGACCCAAACAGAGAGAAGAATTTATGGATAAACCCAGAAGAAAAAGAGAATTTGTGGAACGAAGGGGCAGAGAATCGAAAATCAATTGAGGAGAAAAGGAGACATGTTTAAGGGAGACCGAAAGGAGAGAAGTTTTGGAAGCATTGAAACACACCTGGTTGGTAGAACCCCATGCAGAGAATAGTCTGAGATCGGAGGCAAGAGGAGCACTAATGTCATTACGATCGTGATCGATATTGGTATCAGCTTGAAGGATTGTGGAGTAAGAGAGAGAACAGTGGAGAGTGGCATCATCAGCAAAGCAGAGAATAGGATTTGATGTTTGGGATAAAAGATCGTTGATAAATAAGATAAAGATGGTGGGCTAAAGTAGGGAATCTTGGAGAACGCCGGTGTTTACAGGAAATGGCCAAGATTGGACCCCATCTAATCGGAGATGGTTCGCTTGCTGAGGAAACAACGAAGCCACGATACCAAAGATGAGTGGAATCCGAACGTGGGTAATTTTGACGGCAGACCTTCATACCAAACGCAATCGAAGGCCTTTGAAATGTCGAGCTAGACCATGTGAGTTTCTCCGAGGTTATCGAGTGCAGCCGACCAGGAATGTGATGTGAACGCCAATAAGCCACCCATGGATAGACGAGGACAAGATCCATATTGACGGTCATTTAACAAACCTTCGCGTTCGAGAAACGTACGCCGTTGATCGGAAATAATGGTTTCAAACACTTTCAAGATTACAGATGTAAGAGTAATGGTACGGTAGTTGTTGGGGTCGGAAGGGTCGCCACGCTTGGGGATTGGAAAAATAATAGCATTTTTGCATGGAGTAGGAAAGTATTTAAGATCAAGTGAATAACAAAAAAGGCGGCGTAGAACAGGGGCCAACTCCGGGGCACACATTTTTAGTACGACAGGTGGAATACCATCCGGACCGGGTGGTTTACAAACATCCAAACTGCGAAGAGTTTGGCGGACCTTTCCGGTTGTTATGATTAGCAGAATGGAATGACTGGATGTGTAGAAGGGGGGTTGAACAGTATAGGCGGCAGATAAGATGAAGTTTGAGGCAAACCGGGAAGTGAAGACCTCTGCTTTTTCGTGGCGATCACAAACAAGAGTACCAGAGGAATTGCAAATGAGAGGAAAGTTGGAAGGGCAGAAATTACGTGAAACGGTTTTAGCGAGGGACCAGAATGTTCAGTTACCGGTGGCGTAAGAAGCCAAGCACGCAGTTTTGTGACAA